TTCGCATTTGCATGCCGCTGCTGCTGCTTCTCCGCCTTCTCGGCGTGCTTTTGCAAATGCTTCTGCAGGTAGGTTTCCTGTGTGTACGACTTGCCGCACAGGTTGCAGATGTGCGTCTTCAGGTGCTTCGAGTCTTTGTGCTTGGGTATGTGTTCGAGCAGCGTCAGTTCGTCGGTGAAGCATTTGTAGCAGGAGTTGCATTTGAAGGGTTTGTCCGTTTGGTGGCAGCGCGAATGCGATTGCAGATTGGAGAGCTGCGAGAAGGCTTTGGGGCAGCCGGCATGGCGGCACTTGTAGGGCTTGTCGCCAGTATGGGTGCGGATGTGCTGCTGCAGGTGTGATAGCTGCGTGAATTTGCGTTGGCAGATCTCGCAGCGGTACGGTTTAATGCCGAGATGGATGCGCGTGTGCTGCGATAGATAAGAGGAGTTAGCGAAGGTTTTCGTACATTGCGTGCATTTGTAAGGCTTTGCGTCGCGACCATCGGGGGAACCCTGCTGGTTGCGTGGCTGTTTATGGCTGACGGGTAGCTGTTGTTGTTGTTGTTGTTGTTGCTGCTGCTGCTGCTGTTCTACAGCGGCTGCATGTGGATCATACTGAAACGAGAAGAATGAGAAAGTGGAGGTACTATTAAAAGTTTGCGCAAAATGGGAGCGCTAAAAAATTAATATCAAAGATAATGTTTAACTGACAATTTGGGATGGTTAGTGAAAGTATTTTTTGTTCATACTTATAGTAAAGGGTGTGTGAAGCCTTCACTCCTTGCAGTAGCGGCTCGTAGGGGCGGCTAGTCGGATGCAAACCAACTTCTTTAGGCTGAGTGTAGAGTGGACAGAGGTACCTTACAAAGAGTGATCCCTCTCGCCGCTCATTTGAAGCGTGCTCATTAAGGACTTCCTGGAGAAGAGGTGCTGTCAGATTACCTAAGCGAACAACGAGGCCCCCTATATGAGCTAGCCCCAGACTACTTAAACCTGGTGACTGGCTAACTGCGGCCTCACCGCTAATCAAAGCAAGACAGAACTGGTCTTATTCACTAGGAAGTAGGACGTCCCCAATGCAAACTTTTTCTCGATTTAAGGTGTTGGCCTGCAACTTTCTAAGACGGTCAAGGCCTTCATCCTGATTTTAGAAAAGAAGGTATCACGGAACAGTACTATGACGCCAATGTTTTATGGAGTTTTCGTCTGCGGGGCACGACGAGTGCTGGCCGCCGCGAAGCTACGCAAATTTAATGTTTGAAAGGGCAATAATGTTAATGGATTTTATTTCGCTTTTGAAATGGTAATAATGTCAATTGTCTTTATTTGGCACCAGTAGTGTCAATTGACCTTATTTCCGTTGATCTTGTTACCTGTCACCGCTTCACTTAGATCGGCGAGACAGACAAAAAAGTGGTGGTGAAATGAGTGTCTTCTCGCCCTTATCAGAGCAGGGCAGTGATATAGGTAGTGCTCCACACTCTCGATTTCGTCCACGTCGCGGCAGCTACGACAGAAGTCATTGGCCGGTGATTCTGCTAGCATGCCTTCCCATTAAGCGGTGGTCCGCAATAATACCGGTCACCAGCCTTAGCACAGGGCGTTCAAATCGAATGATTGCGTCGGATCTTTTATTGTCAAGGCTGGGCCAGATTTGTCAGGTCCTTCCGATCATCTTTTGTTTGCCTTCTCAACGAAGTATGTCCTGAGCCACGACTTACAGGTGGATAGAGGTATGCCAGCTGCATTCGCGGAGTTGCCGTCAGACAGGGTGGTTCCCTTACTCGCAAGCTCGTCTTGAATTTCTCTGTGGCCTGGCACCCATACTATGTGAGTAGAAGATTGATTTTGAAGTTATATCGTTAAGGACTTTCCTACATTCTATCGTACAACCTCAGTGACTTGATAGCTGCTTGGCTATCGGGGTATATAGTTACTGAAGGCAGGTTAAGAGAAGATTCGATAAGTCAGAGTGCAGCCTCTGTTATAGCGGCGAGTTCTGCTTGGAAGACACTGCAGTGGTCCAAAGCAGAGGTCTAATGAGAGGACCTTCGAGTTCATCCCACTCCCTACCATTACATCTAGTTTGAAGCCATCCATGCAGATGGCTGTGGAGTTATCTTGGAGGCCCCAGACCGAATCGTCCTCCCAGTCCTTTCTCGAAGGGAAACGAGTGGAGAACTTATACTCGAGCTCCATCGGTGTGTTGTATGATCTGGGGAGCTAAACGTGTCGGGGTGGTTACTTAGAATGTTGGTGTGACCGAATCTTGTGTATTTCCATTTTGAAAGTTTAAGAGTGTTTCCATGGCTTTGTTGGGTGATCAGCATGCATGCCGCGCTTTGTACTTGGTAAGCTTAGAATTTGTGAGCGATTTAGCCAGTGATGCCCACTAGACTGTAACGCCGTAGAATAATATATGACGTACGGGCAAGGGTTGGTGGAGGTGTCCTTTGCTGGGAACTCTCCATCAAAACTATGAGGATGCTTCTGGATTTGGGGAATGTCAGACCTCTCTATTAACCGCGGTGGAGTACTTCATAATCAGGCTAATTTGGGGGTCACAGCAACAATATAGGAAACTGCGTGACTGATGACCTGGCCAAGGAGATACCATTGAAATGCTATCCTCGGGTGTTAAGCAGCTGGGAACGCCTCTGTCCTACTGCGGTTGGACGTTTAGGCCTCTTGTAAGCTCAGCGAGCGCTGGACTAAAACTAGAACATGCCCAATTGCAAGATCCTTCTGACGTGGAGCGAACCGAGGGCAGCAAAAATAACTCTTTATGCCGCTTTTGGTGGGGCTCTGACAGGTCATTATGCAATCGGTAATCACGCGGTAAGGCTGGGAATCTTGCCTGATTTCTTTTGTATTAGCTTAGATGAAAATATTTTGGCTCGCTATTTCTGCCTAGCCCTAGGTAACTTTCTGGAATTGAAATTAGCCGCATTTATTATTTACTAATCGACTTGGGGCGTTTCTCCGACTAAATTAATTGTCGGCGTTCAGCTAGCGTCGCATCACAAAGGATAATCTCTTAATTTTCCAAAGTGCGTCCCTTATGTGGGGCAATCACTATAACCTAACGTAATCTGTGCTCCTGTTGATCGAGCAGGAGATCAAAGGAATTGTTTAGTGATTATTTGGTGCTTAAAAAAGTAATTTCGCAATGCACAACCGCAAGGCACCCAACCGCTGACATAATTCGCCGTGTACTGTTTCATATCCGCGGGAAGGGAGGATAACTTGGCGTCCCCTAACAGAGAGATTTGGATAACAGTATTGAAAGCCTTTGAAAACTTCGACGCTACTAGGACCATCCTCTCGCATGCGCCGTTTTCTTTTGAGTTTACGAGGTACCTGAGTGTTTATGGCGTTGGGCACTGTGGTAGCAAGAGGTGGGTGCATATAGCCAAGTTCCGAAGTTTTCGTCACCTGCTTCAATGAGTTTTTTGAACAGAAGCTGGGCACTAAGGATTCTAGACTAGAGAGGTAGATAAACAGGAGCACCCACTCTATCATAGCATCGATGGGTTTGAATTTTAGGCACCAGGATTGGCATATAAAACATTTCTCCTTACTCACCTTCTGTTCCGGCTGTTCGGTCATGGTGGGTGTGGCCGGTGAATTTGGTGGACTGTATGATTGTTTTAACTGTAACTGCTGCTGCTGTTGCTGTTGTTGTTGCTGCTGTTGCTGATGCGCCGCTGCTTGTTGCTGCGCCTGCTGTTGTTGTTGCTGCGCCTGCTGCTGTTGAAGATGTTGCTGTTGTTGTTCATGCGCTTGTTGTTGTTGTTGATGTTGCTGCTGCTGTTGTTGCTGATGATCGGCAAGCAATTGCTGCTGCTGTTGTATAAGGCCATTCTTCAACGAGTAATCCAAACGTTCAACATTCTGACGAAACTCATTGATATTGAATGGCTTGTAATCGTGCGCTGCCAACTGTGCGGCATTGCGCAATTCCATTGGCGTTAGATGGTGACTCAGCGATGATAGTACATTGCGCTCATTCATCGAGCGTAGCTGATCAATAGAACGATGTAGGTAATCGCTCGTAGGTACGGGAAGTTCGGCCATTTTTCTGGTGAGGAGTTGCCGTTTTAGGCTATGCGTAGTGGCTATGCGTAGGTGTAAAGTCGCTCGAAGTGCGCGCGTTACACGTTCGTCAGGTGCTGGGCAACAGTGCGTGTGTTAAACGTACGGCGATAGGTAAAAAACTGCGGCGAATTTCTTTGCTTTGCGGCTTGGCCAATTGCCAGTCTGGGTTAACTGGTTGGTTGGTTGGTTGGTTGGTTGGTGGCGCCAGCTAAATTTTTTTCGTCAGCTTAATATACGTTGTGTCAGCTGGAAATGAAAGAAAAAATTGGTCAGTTGGCGCCTTGCACAATTTTCGGGGCTAAGTAAACAAGAAATAAGTAGTGAAATATCATTTATGCATTATCAACAATTCGATTGTACCAATTTAAAAAGAAAAAAAAATTTTTTTTACCATATCTATTCTTCTTTTTCACTTTAACAAAATTTGTTAATTTTTCAAGTCAATTTTGAAATATTAACAGCGTTAGATCGCCGAAACAACAGCCATTGGTTGGAACAAAGTTGAGCCATTCCCGGATGTACTAGAACCAGCTGTCGAAGGCCGTTCTCGTCTTTTATAATTTATGGATTCCACAACATTTATCGCCGTAAAAATTCATATAACCCGTTGCCTCTGCCATAACCGCCCCTGTGAGAGAACCGTCCTTTTGGCGTTGGACCCTTTGAACGGTTTCGACATTGTCTGCGGAGAAAACTGACAACAAAGCTAAAATTACCCAATTTTAAGAAAACTTTAAGTCGATTATTCAAATGATTAATTAATCGATCATTTTATTTTATTTATTTTTTGCCATCCCTATCAAAGAGAGACTAATAATTTGGCTATTTTTGTTGTCCAGTCGATACGTTGCCGGTAGCGCATTGTATTTCGCTTACTGGGCCAACTTGGCAATTGCTCAATTTTTCATGAATCAACAGTTGCTGTTAAAAAACAAAGAACCATAAAAAAACCTATGAAACGCGTGTATAACAACAATAACAGAGCAGGTAAACAGAAAAAACAGACACTACAAAAAACTGACTGCAATTGGCGCCTGCAGCACACAAAAAGTGAAATTCACACACGTTGCGAAAAAAAGATGCAAAACAGCAGCGGAAAAAACATTTTATTTTTTTCGTAAAAGTTGCAACGTAAAAAATACGAGGCGCATGGTGTCAATAAGCAGCAACAACAAGACACTCGTGGAAAAATAAAATTGTAGGTATGTATTAAACAATAGCACAAGCCAACGAGCAAAAAAATTTAAAAAAAAAAAAAAAAAAAAATGTACGAAAACACATTGACGCCACCGAGGAAAATAAGAATACAAAAGCCAAGCCGACACAGAAAAAACAGAAGGCAAAAACTGCAATGGTGGGGAAAAAAGTGTTTGTGGGGAGGTTGCGGCGAAAGCGTATGCTAGTGCAACAACAACTACACAAAAAATCGCTACAAAAAAAGCACAAACAATTAAATAAAGAACAACGTTGCCAAAAAAAACGAATGCATCGGAAATTTCTCGCACACCACAAAACGAAAAGAGCCTAGTGGTATAAGGGCTTGGCAGAAAAACGGATGAAATTTAAAACCAGCCGCCAACAACCACCCAAAAAAAAAAGGAAAATCAATAAAAAAAGCAACACACACACACACACACCCACTGCAATATGCATTCATGCGCACATGCAGGAAACACACACACACACACAAATTTGTTTTGCTGATATCACGAAAATGCGAAAAAACGAATTATGTACACATGGAAGTGTGAGCGAATTTAAAAACGCAAACAGCAGCAAAAAAAAAAAAAAAACAGCAACAAAAAACATGTTGATAGACTCAACAACAGCAGCAGCTGCCAAACGACGGCGCCAACAGCGCAACTGCAAGTCGATGTGATGTGCGTGTGTGCATGTGCAAAAAATGCAGTCACTGGCACAAAGTGCGCGTGAGTGCCAGAGTGATGGAAAAGCTGAAACAATTGTACATATGGCTTATTCCACGGTAATCGATACCGAATGAAACGAAAATAAACTTAAGAACTTGAGTGTATTATTTCTAGTAAGTAAGAGTAAATAAATCCATCTTTCAAGACTGAAAGCTAAAATTTCGAAATTTATCTCAAAATCAGATTTTTTTTACTTTATGTTGTACCATTTACAAACTCATATCGAGCCATAATCGCAAAAATAACGTAAGCGAAATTTTTTTTCAAAATTTTCTTTTTGATGCAGAAATGCATCTAGATGCTCTAGGAATATTTCTGCATCAAAAAGAAAATTTTGAAAAAAATGTCGCTTACGTTATTTTAGCGGTTAGGGCTCGATATGAGAGGTTAATTTTCTTCAAGTTTGACAAGACTCATTTTCGTAGTCTATTATCTTTTTTACATTGTTTAAACGGTCAATGGAGAGAACAATTCGTCAGCATTGTAACAGTTTAATTGTCCAGATTTTCGAGCAAGTACTAAATATTTTATTATATATTGAAGCAAAGCATATTTTAATGTCACGGCCGTCACAAAATACACAAAATAGTTATTTTTAAAGGAAACCAAATCTTAGACAGTGTAAAAAGCTGACGAAAGTAACGCTATGACACAGGCTAACATGCGCGAATCGCTATTTAGTATTTATTATGCTTTTATTTTCGAAAAAAAACAAGATTATGTTGGTAACACCCGTCACATGTCACGACCGTCACATGTCACACCCGTCACAATTTAAAGTTTGACAAATTTTAATATATTTGGCCAGGGACTGCTACCGTTACTCATCCGCTAATCTGAAATGTGCCATATATCTGTTTGTGATCACCGATGATAAAACTAATCATGAAGATATGTTGCTCGAGCGATGGGAAAACTTAAGCTTTTCTGTCACTTATCAGGTCAAAAACAGTATCTCATACGGTTTGACAGGTAATAGCCTCGGTTTGATAGGTAACAGCCTCATACTATTTAAAAAAAAGGTACTTTACAATGACTCAGACAGACAATAGAGATGAAGAGTTCGACAATGATTATCCGGTCTAAAGGTGGCATACACTTTTATGTGTTCATAAAATCAGATTTTTTGACAAATAAAGTTAGTAATCTATAGCTTCCAATAGAGCTAAGTAACTTTGGCGTAGATGTTGAGAATGTTTATTTAATTATACAAGAATTATTTAAAACCATAAGCAGAAGAAACGATTAGCAGAAAAACTCTGATACACGTAAGTAGTAGCTAATTTGGTTTGCGTACTCGTCACACCCGCCACATTGACTAAAATTCATATAACTCGTTGAGATTAAATTGTTTTTGATTTTTTTTTTAGACATTGTGTATGCCTCGGAAACCTATAAGAGAATACTCGTTGTAAATAATTTTACATTACAGTTTAAGAATTAAACCTTAAAATGTGAGTTGAAATGTCACACCCGTCACCGTGGAACGAGCCATATGTATTTGCAAACCTTTACGGTAAGAGCCAGCTATGTAGAGTATTTGGGTATCAGCGCTCCTACATAGTACCCAATACATATTCGAAAAAGAATATTTGCACCGTTTCCTTGATATCATTTGATTAATGAGTAACGTAATGAGTCAATTTTATAAAAGTACTTCCCTAACAGCCCGTCTCCACAATCAAGCGTTTTTGCCTACCAACTGTCATTTTTATTGCCTGATGAAAATTTTATCAGAGGCAATATTTGTGTGTGGCCATTTTTTACCTTGATAGAGGCATTTGTAAGATGGCTTTCAACAAGTATTTTGCCGGATTTAATCACTTCCAAAATTTAGAAAATTCGCTATTTCACACCCAAGTACATAAAAAAAATAGTTTAATAGAAAGCAGCTAAATTTTTGCTTTCATATTAAAAAATCAATAATTATGACGCCATGGATATGCGGCTTCCATGGGAAAAATTTTGCCTGATAACATTATCAATATAAAGAGTTTTGCCTGCAAGTAATTGATCGGTGATAGATAGTTCTCTTTCTAAAAGTGTCGTTGTTTTTTTTTATTAGGAAGCTCAAACAAATTTGGGTTTTTCTTGAGACATCGAAGTCTAATCGCTGATTGCACTACTATTTCGTTTCCTTTGACAGCGCTGTCAACGCTTAGGCAATTTTGACCTTTTGGTCTTACTCTTGTTGGTCTTCCTCTTGGCTAACCAGTGCCAAACGAAATTACCAAGTTAAGTTTTTTTTTTTCATTTAGCCTTTCCAGCGCAGATGAGACCATTTTGTGCCTCTACTATCTGTCATTAGTAACATGGCCGAATAAAGAGCCTTGAGGACAGAAGCAGCGCCGTAGAAAGTTCAAAGATATCTCGCTCTACGCCACTTCGGGTTCTCTATTATCACATTAGTTTCGTTCCCCACGCTTTCCGGGCTGCTCCGGTAACTAGAGCGTAAAAATAAGTTACTCTCTCACAAGTGTAAAAAATGTGCCAACACGTTCCAAAACTGCCTGAAGCGAGAGGAACGCAAAAAACTACATTTCGTTCCCGGAATCAACATATCAGCTTTAAACAATGATTTTACGTGTATTTATCTTATATGGCTAATAATAATAATAATAATAGATTGGCGCTTACACATATGTTAGTGATTGGCCGAGCTTCTCCTCCGATTTGTGGCGTGCGCCTTGATGTTGTCACACAAAGCGGAGGGACCTACAGTTTTACGCCGACTCCGAACGGCGATTGTATTTTTATGAGAAGCTGTTTTTCATGGCAGAAATACACGGGGGTTTGCCATTGCCTGCCGAGGGACGACCGCTGTTAAGAAAAAACCTTTTTTCTATATTTTTGCGATGTTGCTTTGACCAGGGTTTGAACCCAGGCATTGTGGAGTGGAAGCGCGCACTGCTTACCACTACACCACAGCGGCCGACAATAAAATACAAAATAATAAAATTACAAAATAACTACATTTTCTCAAAATTCTGTGATATTTTCCACAACAACAGCTGTTAATTCAAATTGCCCTTTTGCACATTTGTGCCCGGAAAAAAAGTCCGGGCTGTTTCATGCACAAAGAAGAAGATATTTACGATCCAAAAGTGTATGATATTCGCTCTCTATTACCCATTTTTCTGTTTTCGTCACCCGCGGGTACAACTTATTGACGTTAATATCTACGATACAACGTCGTTCGGGAGCTAAAGGCAAATCTTCCAGTGTACTTCTGCCATGAAGCGTTTCTCATAAAAACCATTTACCTTCCGGAGGCGGCGTAAAACTCTAGGTACCTCGATTTGCGTGACAGCATGAATG